TTCTTATGTATTTATAAGACTTGTAGTATTTTCTTCAGTAACATAACACATAATTTCTTGTACTTGCAAACATTTAAATCGAAATTGAATATGTATTACCAGTTTTCTCATACGCTTCTTTTACACTTATAAAGTTTCTTAAATGGTTTCAGTAATAGAAACTGTGTATCGAAGTTTTATAAAAGTTATATTATTTTATATTATTATTATGTAATATTATTCTTTTACACATATCTGCAAAAACTGTTGTAGCCATCAGTCGTTTTTCACCTTAAGGATTCCTTTAAAGAAAATTACTTTACTTACCTTTCTTTCGTAAAAACCGGGTCGTAAATGCTCAAGCCATTTCACGTTAATTCTAGCTGATAATTCGGATGAAGTGACGTCAAGGCAAATTATCGAGGTAAAATAGAAATAATAGTTGTGTTGCGCAAAGATACATAGTAATAAATATAAGTAACGAATACACTGCAAAAAAAAGGAAGGAAGTAATTGCAATGTGTGAAGCAGGTTTTGGCAATCTCGTTTATTGAAATTAATATTAAGATTAGTACAAGTTCGTGTGAAAGTAATGGCATTGCACGATCTTATATTTCTCCAAGTTCTACTTCTAATGTTGGCCGAGACGACAATTTCTTTGCAGCGGAAAATTTAGATATCATTAAATTAAGATTTGAGGATATAAGATGAAAAGTTAAGAGACGATTACGTTAACATGATTAAAGAGATAGATCTGATATATTATCTTTGACATATATTATCAGATTTATTTTATATTAAATAGGGTTTAAATAGATGTTTAAATAAGATACATATATCAATTTTTTATAACAGAAATAACAAACTCTTTCACTCTTTGATAATAAATAGAATTAACAGTCGGATGAATACCTAATCTTATCATTACTGTATGAAGACTTGAATTAATAAGTGATAAGAGCGCAAAAATAGTATTATAAAAAATGACATAATATTTGTGTTATAATTGCAAAGAATAATTAACAGATTAATATATTACTAATTACTATGTGACAGATAACCGTCGCACTATGTTGTAGAAACATTTATCGGCATGGTTTAATCCTATGAAGTCACACCGGGATATCACCGTCATTAGTCATGTTGTTTACTCTAGATTCTCGGGAAATACGCTGACAGCGTAGGGATGTTTTCTTCCGCGCAACCTAGAATTAACTTCAACCTAGTAGAGAACGTGGAGCTTATCGAGTAATTCCATACGTCCTAGAGGCAAGTTATCACGACGAACACGTCTGTTCCTGTTACGCACGAAGGCTGTTTCTCCATGTACGAGACTCGATGCATCGGAATGATGCCGACGCTCCCGTTTACATTGTGCGATCGAGGAATACGATTCGGCGAAACAGCAAAGGCGCAAAGCTAACGCGATAGCAGTTCCACAGGCGGAATTAACGTATTCGCGTTACGCAACCGCTCACCGCGGCTAGATGAATGCTAATTAGCGGAAGATGTACTGCTCTCTCTGCTTCTGGTAAGGCGCTATCTTCTACGACTAGCGTGATAGATATTATATCCGCGCGCAGTAGTCGACGACCTTTGTTTCGCAGTAGTACAAGTCGTTTGCAAGTGCGGCGGTGTAGCTCTTGAGATCCGCGGTAACGCACGCGTATACATATATAATTGCATTCGTGGCTTATTATTATGAAAAAAATATATTTATGCTACGACTGAATAAAGGATAGTTTATTTATGTGATCGACAGTATCTCTGTTCTCGAGAATATTTGAATAGATTTTCATTTACGTGAAAAAGAATACCATTTATTTTTCTCTGCGTTAGGGAAAAAAGTGTCACATTAACACATAATACATAAATAAAATAATTTCGAGTTTAATAAATAATTATTCCTCTCGTGTTCTATACTCAAACAGGAAGCGTATAATTTGTATAATAATATTATATAATACTTTTTAATTTTTTATTTCTATTATTTTTCAATATGTTATTATAAAATGTTATTAAATATTGTTACATAAAAATATCTTGAAGAAAAGTGAAAGTAATAATCAAAAGTTTGACGTGGCAGCGAGTAACACAAGAGAGCCTGGGTGGGTATGCTGGTATAAACATCATCACGTCGTGTTATGCAAAGTGTCACAGCGGGAAATAGTTAGTTGTTCCGCTAACATGTGAATTCTGCGTGGTTTCGTGCCCATTAACTAACGGTAATGATACGACAGAAATAGCTCCGCACATCTACTTTGTCGCGCGACAAACTGTAATGGTGACGCAGGCCGAGTAATTTAATATAGCGTATAATTCAGCCGAAATCGCGAGGCCCTGAAACCTGTTACCGCGTCTGGTTAAAGCAGCCGTGAAAACGGATCTACGAACAGCTATAATAGCCGCTGCCAAGTTTTCGGCTGCGTTAGGATAATGTTCGAATCACCGTCGGTGTCCGACTAATGAGTAATTAGACTACCGACAGATTCGCACAATTTTAAGACTTCCATCGTATTTTATGATAATGGGCTTTGCGGCAAGCTTGGCGAAACCATCTCTCCTTCCGCTGCGAATAACAATATAATCTTACATCGAGGATGCGTCAGAATCTCTTTAATCGGAAGACATTAAGATTAAGCATTATTTATTATAAATATCATTGATCACGGATTTAATTATATAAAAATAAGATAATGGATTGTTATTTTAATAAGCTCAAAAAATTGAGACACATGAAAATCAATTTTTCGATAATCTATAATTAAGTTAATTAAATAACCGTCGATGGTATATGAATTTAATTACACTCAAATAAAGTAGCTAGACAATTATATTATATAATATAATGATATTATAGCTCATTATATCATATAATGATATTTAGCTCAATTCACAAAAATGTGGAGCGTTAGAAATCAATAATATGATAATCAATATAAGAAAATTAAAAAATTCTTATCGATATACCTGTCGGTGATGACAGTAGTGCATTAATATGATTGTGGAAATTTGGAAGAATCGCAAGATACAAAATTAGGATAACTTATGTAGGCATTTTTTATAAAGACGTTAACCGACGATGAGATTAGCTGATTTACGTGTTTTGTTTGTCGACCTCGTGCCGGGTACTTATTTATTTGTAATATTTATTATTGAAAGCGTTCTGAGCGATCCTTTGTTTGTCGAGAAAACCGAAAACACATCTCTGCGCGATGAACGAAGGTAATTCTGATTGGTCCGATGTTTCGGGTAGGGAAGGTTTTAACACCGGGTATAAATATGCCGACTTTTTGGGAATCGACAGACAATAGAGAACCGAACAGAACAGATCATATCTCTCTTCTTCGAAACATCGAACGACGGCGAAAACGGCAAGATACGGCTCTGAAGAATTGTCGACGTGAAGACGTGTAATATTCACAATTGCACAGTATACATATACATACTATCATTTTGCGTTGGAATAAATTAAACCTTTGGCCTATCCATTGAAACACGATATCCTAATCGAAACGGTGAGAGAAACATTCTATTTCTCTCTCTCACGCCCATCAGACGCCTACACTTATATGTATATGTTATAAATCACCATCCCAGGTAATGCTTTTATTAATTAATGGTAATAATAATAATAATAATAATAATAATAATTTGTTAATATAAATAAATACTGTTACAATTCGCTTAATGACACATGAGATATGATTTACCAGCACACTTTGCCGACAATGTTTTCCATCTAATTATTTTGAAATCGTTATTCTTCTCTTGGAAATATAACGGGAATAATGTAGTGAGATGCAACTGGTGATTTTAACGGAGACATAAAACTTCTTATATTCAGAAACATTACCATAACGGTGCATTTCAGGTTGTACAATAACTAGTATGCATTACGAATACAACGTATAGTTAGATATATCATTTCAAATCAACTGCTTTTTAAAGAAACATACAAATTCGCAATATTATTTTCATAATCCTTTTATAGTCAATTAAAAAAATATATATATATATGTATATATAAATATAATATGTACATACTTAATGTACATTGTGTCATTATATACGTACATACGGTGGTACTAAATCGATATACCGTCTAAGCGCAAGGTAATTTTCCGTGAAGAAACAAGCGCGCAATTAGTCTCTAAATAGGCAATGTAGACTTTAAACTTAAAATACGTAACCAAGAAACATTCGCCAAATTTAATCATAGTTTTACCAGACTATTTACCGCACCGTACTTATTTTACCTGACAAATCTATGCGACCTGCAACGCTAAAAATATGCGCATAAATGTCTAGAAAAATGTCATACTTATTTTTTGCCGCAAAAGTATCTAACGAGACGGTTTAATATTGTTAATGCCGCTTTCGCAAGACAATGCAATTTCAGTATCCATTTAATGTGCATTCTGTATTAAGACAAATATTCGCCTTCATGTTACATGCGTCCTGCGTCCTTTTCTTTTACATGTAGATACATATGCACCTTGAGGTTTCATCAGCAGTTACAACGTAGTAGGTAGTAGCAACGGTATATCGCCGCTGCGGCAGGCGATACAAGACGCATAGTCACGAATGAAGCAAGTAGAGAGGAAGAGAGAGAGAGAGAGAGGGAAAACAAGATGAGTGAAGCGAGAGGGAAGCGAAGAGACGACATGAGAGAACGCGCAGAGACAGAGAAGGAGATGAAGAGAGGAAGGAGAGAATGAAGCGCATAGCGAATGAACACGAGGAACAAGGAAGGAACGAAAGGAGAGAGAGAGAGAGAGGGAGAGACTACCGGTACGGTGAGTGAAAATAGAATAAGAGGAGAGCAGGTAACGGGGAGGACGAGGACGAGACCCGCGGTAGGGGTCGCAGGGAGAGGAGAGTTTCCTCCTTTTCAACCCCCGTGTTGCCGCGCAGAGCGGCGCGTAGGTATACGTACACACTAGGCGTCTATATTTTATATCCGGTGTACCCGAGTTGTCGCTAGGGCGCAGACTCGAGCCAATCGGGGTCGGCCGGCTCGCCAGTTACTTTTCGCGATCCACCGTGGCCGCTCTTCCGCGGCGCAGGTAGACAGACGGACGACAGTCGGTTAGTCAGTCGGTGAGACAGGGGAGGAAGGGTGTAAGAGGATCGGGGGAGAGAATAGAAAAGCGAGGGAAAGAAAACGCGGCTGAGAGAGCGAAAAGGGGTGAAAACGGTGACATACAAAATAAAAAGAAAAAAAAGAAGTAAAAAAAAATATAAAAAAAGAAGGGCGGAAAGCACGAAAAGTGCAGAGGAAGAGAGAGAGAGAGAGAAAGGGGAGTTTGAGAGAAAGAGGGAGATCATAGGTGCTAGCCCCCGTACCGGAGTCCGCATTCGCCGCACAAAAGCACAACTTGCGCACTGTTGCGCCGCGTTACCAAGCTACTGCGCGAGCAACCGAACTGTGCCGCTCAGCCACCCCTGCCGAGCAGTCGAGTGCTTTCGTGCGGAGTGTTTACGTCGTCGCGCGGGTAAACACGCACGTTGTCGCGACTCGTAGCTCTATCCCACGTACCACCTACCCCTTTCGATCAGCTGGAACGCTGGACGCTTGTTCGATCCCTCGCGTCGTTCGAGTGATGTTTCTGCGTTCTGTCAACGTGAAAGAACAATTTCACGAAACGTGCGATCGTCGACCGCGCGATCGAATACGCGTCTAAAAAGCTTACGCGCTTCCGAGATGGTAGAATATTCCATTTAAAACTATTTAACACCTCGACACGCGTGTATCGCTCGTTCGCGAATTATTACAGAGACATTAGACTGACGCTGTCGCGTTTCGACTCGTGTGACACTTTGCGGATCGTTGTGTTATGCATTTACGTAAATTCGTTTCGATAGTTCGCAAATCTCGTGTTTTCGTCTTTATCGCGTCGTAGTAATTACGTAGTAATTACTGGTGTGCGCGCTCGCGAGAAATTGAGAGATTAGAATCGTCGGAAATTCGCTAAAACGACGGGGGTAGAGAAGCGTCGGGCATCGTGACAGTGCAGCCAGTGAGCGACGAAGGCTGCACCGATACGTGACTGACTTAACCCCGAGCTCGTTCCGTATATGTATGCACGTCGTTGCTCCGACCGGAACTCTCACGTCGCCGCGAATTGAACCGCGCGAGTAGAGAGGCGGAAAGAGAGAAAGAAAGAGAGATAGACGTTGATCTCATCATCACCGTGAGTGTCACTACGTCATCGTCTTCAGGCAGGGTGTACATGTGCGGACGTACGTAGTAGTCGTTTGTGCCTGGCGTACACTCGCACGACAAAGTGACTACCCCGAAGTGCAGCGGTGATAAGAAGATACAGCCACGCGACGTGATCGTTAGCATAAATGACAAGCGCAGCCAAGGCATCGAACTGAGGTAAGTGAGTCTCGTTCGGTTGTTGATATTTTTTGATATTCCGGAACGCGTCCCCGTTCGAGCGATTCTAAAATTGGAGGCGAGGATACCTCGATTGGATGCGTAGGATTTAATTAGAGGGAATAGGTTGGCATCGCTATATTAATCGTGCGAGTTCCCGTGTAAATGAAATTATAATCGAACGGCGGGCTGGGTCTCAAATTATGCGCTGCAGAGATAGAACCTGAGGCGCTTGTGCTTCTGGTGTTACCGTGGCTCCCCTTTGGAGACCTTTCCGCCTTACTCCCGGATGGTACGTAATGAAAATTCAAGAAAACTCGGGAACTTTTCGTACTTTAGACTCCAACTCTTGTTGGATATGTACGAATGCCTTCTATATTATGTGAAGCTACGATGTAGACGATTACAATATACGCGGCTCTATGCGCGCCTTTCTCTCTTTAATTCGCTTTATGTATCCTCATTTAAAAAGGAAGATAAGACTTTAAGGTTTTTATATATTTTTAAAAGCGCGAGAAAGATAATATTTGATAATATAAAACAGATAATATTTGATGCTAATATTGGTAGAACGGTTGCGTAAAACATAATTAAAATAAAAATAAACATTTAGCCTAGAATGTATTCGTATAAGAATGACAATGTTTTCGCGTAAAATTAATTTATGACTTCTATTGCGTAATTACAGCATTTTAATCTTAATAATCAGTAAGTCATTGCGTAACTGGAGTGCATAATTAGCAGCGTACTTTTTTGTACTTGTTTCAGCAATCAAAGAAGTTTTAATGAAACTTTTTATGTCTTTGATCAAACATTTTTTGCTCCAACACACGATATTACTTTATGAATTGTTTCTCAAACTGAGAATAAGCTATAAAAGAATAAGGATCTACAAAGTGAGTTTGTTTTGTCTGTCATCGATGATCTTTGACAATAACGTTTTTAATCTTACATCACGAATACAGTGCAATATATAAAGTAATATTTTCATCAAGATTGATCGCAATAATACTCTGCACAATATTGCTTCGGTTAATAAAAGGAATATACATGCACGCAGATGTACGTACAAAAATCAATATTGACAATGAGCTAAAAATCTTCTTCCGATTGACAGATCAATGATTAGCATTCGTGTCACATACTTGTCATAAGTCGACGAGCGGAGAGGTCTGATCTCCATCGCTTCGGGGATCGCCAGGCTCGTTCTATATGCAGTGATCCGATTGCAAGTGTCTAGGCCGGACGCCTGATTCGAAGATGCACTCCGATGTGCATAGACGTAATCGGAATACCGATCGTTAAGTATCCCGGCCATCCTGGGTATGCGTAATGGTAGGTAGCGCTGTCATTTTGCGTAGCTACGTAAACGTTCGGCTGGTGCTGCTCGCGTACCATGGATAGAGGTATATAGCTACCGGAGAGAGAGGAGAATCCTATGCAAATATGCTGAAAGCATAGTCGGGACGCTCGCGGGGTTTTAACGCGTTACTTAGCTGTGCGTTACGTGTCGCCGACAGATCAATTTGCCTGACCTGCCTTCTTGTCTCGTCTCCGACCCTCGTATCCCTCGTCCACGGCCGCGAAAACTGACCGCGAAATGTCGTTAGCGATAACGCGATCTATCGTTCCCTCCGCAAAGGCCGCTGATCATAGACGATGGAAGTGGTTTGCATCGCGAGTCTGCGCCCTTACTTGCTATTCTCCTTTCGTGTCCCGACACCTGGAAAAAAAGAAAGACATTTTTGTGCGATTTTATTCTGCCAAGCTACCAATAGGTAATGCGATTCTGTACTACATGTACGTAGGTATAAAGGTATCGTATAAGTGTGTAAACAGGCAAATTGATAGAATATAATATGCTAATCTTGTTTTTGACTGTATAAATCGGATCAATTTACTGTAATACCATTTATCTCCATAAAGTAGAGTTGATCGTAAGCGATTACCGTATGTGAACCTGGCCGATAGCTGTTATCGCGGTACTTTGAAGTATATTACGAGTATAGATATAGGTAAAAATAAGTAGCTTATAAGCGCACATAGAGCACCAGTAAGCGTCTAAATAGAGAGATAATATGAGAGAGTACAATATGTTGATCCAAATTTGATATCGAAGTTAGCTATATGTGTGTCACGAAAAATGATTGATTAAATTTAATGCTGAATATTACGAATACCAAACGTGCGTTAATATTCTAATATTCTAACTGGAATATTATAATGATCGTTTTAACAATAATGCGTACATTGTAGCGTATGAATTATTATGACGCGATTATCGAATTATTCACATTGTTTCTTTGTGAATGATGCATCATTTCACTTCGCGTTTGGTATCATGCCTGACTGACTCTCCTATCCCTGTTATCCCAATCCCCATTAATTTTAATGGATGCCGAGCTACAGACTTAACACTCATCTGCACAATAGACACCCCAGAACAATTACAGGACACGTGAAAATGCACGTATAACTACTGCATAGCGCTGGACATCATCACCCAGAAGAGCGCGTTGATTACATAGATTTATAAAATTACAGTTTTCGAGATGGAATGGGTAAATTCTATATAATAAAACATCCCCTATGATATTAAGTTAACAAGTGAAGATAAATGTACTTCGTCTAAGTATGTTTAAAAAAATGCATTTAATTATTTATTAACCAAAATGAAAGAATGCGAAGAAAATCGATATTTCGTTCCTCCGACGATTGTTATCACGAAGTGAAAATATCGGATTGCAACATTAACAACGCCTTTTTCGGCTATCGAACTCTTCGACGCTTTCAATCGTTTCTGCCTCTCCTTTTGTTTACCGTGGACAGTATCCAATACCCATTAATTTTAATGATGAACGTGGTCAGTTTAACACGTACCGCGGTCATTGTAGCAAGCTTGTAGGCAATAAATCATATCCCCTTGTCACTGAAAAGTGCATGGTTCAGATAAGTACGTATATATGTATGTACGTACGGCATGCCTATATCTGGGCTATTCTCGCCCTCCTACTCCGGACACATGTTTATATGTAGTATACTAGGTAGTTAAGGAACGTGACGTACCATTCTTAAATGCGATCCTGCGCGGGATGGCTGGCGGTTATCTGCACTGTTAAATAAAGGATAATAGTTTGTATAAACTTTCTCTCTCCTTGTGCTGACGCGCGCATTTTTTATACTTATTTATTCTTTTACAAATTGCATTTTACATATTTACCTTTTCAATATTATTAAAAGGTTCAAGCTTTTGCAGTTTACTCTTAAGCTTTTAACTTATAAAAATAATATTACGCTTCACGTATATAATATTTTAACTATATTTCTCGTTAAGCCGATTTTAATTAGCAAAAAGTACAAAAGTATACTGCACATGTGTAATATACCGGCTTAAAATTAGTTTAAACTCATAATACCTATTGCATAACATCCGTTTCTCAGAACTACATCGTGACATTATTCGCGTACCGGTAAAGTCGAAAAATTACTACGCACATTAGCGCGACGCCATAGCGATGAAAAATTATGCAACCGTGGCCCACTGAGAGCCGAGAACGAAAGGCCGCTGTGTAACCGGAAATTATCATAAATTTTATAAGACTGCCACGGTTTTATATAGAAGAAGGGAGAGATGAGTGGCCTTTTCGCGAGGGGAAAAAGAGAGAAGTGTGTTAATATCGCTAATATCCCGGCTTATCGATTAAGGTAACTCTGCTCGTACATGCACCACAGTCATGTTACGCACGCCAGCGACGAGAAACACGTGATAAAATGAACGTGCCGCGAAAAAATAATGTGTCTTTTAAATACCGAAATTACGCTAATTGTCGACGACTAACTAAAATTACAAATGTCGCTCGTCGCGTACAGAGAGAGAGGAGATTCATTTGCCATCCCTGACGCGGCACAAGATCGTATATAGAATGAGAAAACTCGAGCCAAGATTTTCTTTGAAAACAGCTACGACTGTTAATGAGTCTCGTTATCTCGTTCACTCGCTCGTTGCCTACCAGCAACGAATTTATAAACGCATGTCTTCATTTCCTCTTAAAATTACATGCTCCGCATATTGCAGTTGTTGTATGACTATAGTATTCATTTTTATACATTGATTATCCAGATTACTTCTAAGCAATATAAATATTTATATGATGGTTATTTTTATCAAATAATGATCAGGTTTCTTCACTTGTAATTATTCATATATCCTACAGGTCCTACACTATTTGACTCTATAGTTAATTTTTTATTTCTTTAATTATATTATCAAATTATTATTAATAATAACTGTCCTGTTAAGTAATCGCTACAATGTACAATTTTTATTCAAAAATTCTTGGATAGCTCTCTGATTTGGATTTTCTCGTGTATGCAAATGTTGCTTGAACTAGATTTTCATACAACACTTCTTTCAGTGCGAATATAAATTCTCATACAACACTTCTTTCAACGCGAATATATGTAAATATACAACAGTGTTGGGGGTCATTCTTTGACTGCTAAGTCGATATGTAGCCATTGTGCAACAAGAACGCAAATTGTTGAATACATTCGCGCAATCCAACTGATACATCTCATTGTTATGGTTGTACGTACGTAATAAGCACGCATGTGAATTAAGGTTGTCGCAACTGTCTCAAGAGGAGTATACATATACTTTCCATAGGTATTTAGCATACGACGACATTTAAACCGAGCATTGCAAACAAACACTAAACATGTATATTTGACAAGATTCAGATAGCGAATAATTATTTTCTCGAAATAGCCACAATAATAAAAGCGCGCGTTAATAATTATTGCGATTAATACCGAAAATATTTACAATTCCTACAAGAGACATACATATATACATATATTCTATCTCTCGATATATGTATATATTTTTTTTTACATATTTTATATATATATGTATATATCCTATAAAAAAACTATTGCAATATTTTCGGTGACTAGCGAGACGCCTCGTTATTATCATAAAGCATTTTATTTCCGATCTC